CCTTAATGATTCTATGATTCTATAAAAGACAGAGTACACATTTTTTTCCTACTCCAACATTTGTCTATTTCTTGAATTCTACCATCAATGCTTCCATAAAATATTAATCATCACTTCTTACCTTGGCTGATCCAACTACAACACAGTGCAATATTGGTCTACTGTTTACAGATATATTGGCAAGGAAACATCACTATTTGTTATTATTATTCTTGTTCACTTAAAGGCAATAAAATCATCTCTGATTGTCTATTGAAGTCTATTGAAGCCAAGCTCTAAACATTTTTTTCCTCACTACAATTGTTTTGCTGATTATCAAATAACATAGGTCAACACAGGGCAAGTAATTAACAACCCCCTCAAATTTGATACTGAATATGTACATACAAGCTTTCCTGTATTTAGTGTTATTGAATACATTACCTAATGCAGAGATCCAGAATGGATAAAGTTCTTTAGTGAGAAGTGCATCATCTATTTGAGAAAGAAAACTTTTCAATACATCAGTCACATCTTCAAGCTGGTGTTTTCCTGCTCTTAGTTTAACACTCCTTGCATCTTTTTTGAAGCTTTCCAGCAGCTCAGCCACATTGAATGAATCACCATTCGTAAGGTAGATCTGCTTGCTACCTAAACCTAAGTTACAGAAATACAGGACAGAAAAATAAGTAAATGTAAAATCAAGTATTCTTTTAAAAATTCCAGAAATTATTACATGAAAAGCATATTTGGCTGTCTAACGCATCATATTTCCTACTAAAATCTCTCCTGACCTTTTGTACATACTCATTTTGTTAGTAAAAACACTGCCAAGCCTGCTTACACCCAACCAGACCTCTTTGCAAAAAAACCACATCATAATATTAAGCAAGCTGGGATCACAATTTCAAGAATACTTTACAGGGAATTCAAATCCCCAAATCTCTTCAGGACTTCCCAAAACAATAGTTTCAAAAGGCACAGTAAAGGAAAGAAGTTTTGATGACTGGTATAGTATTTGCTTTCATAAGAAAAACTATTTTATTACCCTACTGACCAACTCAACTTAGGACTCAGTAAAGTAGTATTGTATTCATCCAACCTGAAACATTTCACTCTTAAAAGCCTCAAGATTAGTAGAAAGTATTCCTTTTTTCTGATTTTTCTCACGTTCAGGAAGACATCAGGCAGCCACTATTCTTCACTATTTAACAACTAAAACCACCAAAGCCCAAAGCCAACTTAAAAGAAAATTCATAGTCTAAAACACAGTCAAGACTACCTTCAATTACTGCATATGAGAGTAGCCAAAACATTTTTTTTTTTTTTTAAAAAAACTTGTGGAAGTTTGGCATAGATGTGCAGTCCCGTTGTTTCTCTTTGTAGAGGTGTTTCCCACATTCCCCACATTTCTTGAAAGAGAATCGTGTTTTATACAAAAGCCTGCTTTTCCTATGTACCTGTCAAATTAAGCACTGTCAAAACCTATGAAATCATGTTCTTGCAATTCACCTTTCCTGTAACGTCCACAAGCGCTACCATTTGATACTGCCTTGGTGTTGTTACCGTCAGGAACAGCTGTGGAACCGATAGTGTCTGTCATCTGTAGACTACAACTAAAGACAGAACTTTTACCATGCTGACATTATGCATTTGTATGCATACAAGTAATGCATATAAATAATTCCTTCAGCTTTCAAATGAGTATTTTAACAGCCAGTAATGCTGATCCTGAAAAAACATATTTTTCAATAAAGATTTAACTTATTTAAAAGACATTAGGAAATTGGATTTTCATTTAGAACACACACGAGCGATTGGTCTGAGTGGCGGACATAATTACCCTGCTTTAACAACATTTCAGCACATGAAACAGTGTAAACTATACTTAGAATAATTCCTATTGCTAATGATTAAAAAATAATTCAGCAAAAACTTTTTTTTTCTTGGTTTTAGGCAATAGTTGTAACCCAGACACAACTATTTACCATAATGCATGTTGTCATATTCAAAAGTTATTTAGTTACATTTCAATCACTGAAATATAAATTAGGCTTTCTCAAACTGATAGAGGTTACAGACACATTTATCCTGAAGACAGATTTGTACAGGGTTGATACGTATTTAACATTTCACAAGAAAAATGATGAATTTGCAGTAGTACAAATGACACAGACATCATCTCCATATGATCTAATGCTATGGAAAGTTATGCTGGCAAAATTTACTTAAACAAATAGTAACTGACTATATGTCCTTAGTCTCCAGCAGCTTTAAGACTGAACTCAGCTCCACAGTTAGTATCAGTTTCCCAGAAGATGTGCTGACCAGTCCAGGTCATAGCCTTTCCTGGTTCACATAGCTTATTTTCAGCGCTGAGGTGTTCTGCACTGAGGCACTGGACCCGAGGCTGAGCTACATCAGGCAAACAAGCCAATCTTTAAAATAGGAAGGTGCCTATAAAGGGCATCTACCAAGCTGTATTTCCCCAAACTGCCCATTCTCAGATGTGTGGCAGTGTACTTCACCATTGCATCAAAGAGTGGCGAGGCTAATGAGGGGTATGGTTTTTACTTTAGGTAATATATAAACTCATTCAATAAGATCTGATGGTGTAGGGGCTTAGGTATTATACAATGATCTTATGTTGAATAAAATCCACTATACTTACCATACTGTGTAACAAATGCTATACAGCTGTTCACTATAATAGGAACATCATTTTTGCTGAGCTGCTGATCTTGTAATGCATTACCATCTGTACCTGCTGCTTTTTCAATTGCAGTATACCAGACCATGAAATCCAGCTTTGTATGGCCATGAATGTATAGCGTTCTGAAAAGTATAAAAATATTTTGAATGCAGAAAAGAAATAGAAAACTGATGTAATTGTACTACAGCAACAGAGCAGATGTCCGGAAAAAATAAGATATACTTGGAATAAGACATCAAGGCACCTTTCACCACATAAAGCTGTGGTGGTGGCCTATTGTTACAGCATCTTTTTTTTTTTCCAACTACATTTGTACTAACAGTGTCACAATAAATGAAAGAAGAACCACAAACACTGTCACAGGCCTTTGAAAGGATCTGACCAACATTTTAATTACTCTTCTTCAGTCTTGCTCCTACACTGTGCATTCATAAGGCCAAGTCAAAGTTAAGCGGGAAAGAGATTTAGAAACATCTTTCAATACTGGAAAAGGCTTTCCTTCTTTTCTATTCCCCACCCCCCCACTTCTTTAGAGGAGACATACTGAACTTCCCTCCTTCACATGTATCAAAATGATCACCCTTAGGAAACCACAGAGCGAAGGAACATGTATGAAAAAAACAAGACTTGAAGTATAGTAAGTTAATGCAACTCTTTAATTACCTGTTTATCTCAAAGCATGGCCCTGTTCTGATTTTATTATTTAAACATGCTACAATAATCTCCTCTGTTTACCCTTGACAGGCTTGCTTCTAAAAGACAATTCCAAAATTGAACAGTTTAAGGGTGTATGTCCACCCATATGCATGTAGGTAATAAACAACTGTTTTAAGTGTTAAAATAGCAAGCAAACTTTTCTACATACATACTCTTCGTCTCTCACTAAAGAAGTGTCAGGGATTCATTTTTTAATGACAATTTATTTGCTAGTTAGGAAAAGTTTAAATGTTCTACTTAACTTCTATGAAAATACTTTCATCAAAATATAAACAAACATTCATTTTGATCATTTTATTTAGAAAAAAAAACCAAAGCATTTTATATAAAGATGGAATATTTAGTTTCAGATTTTTTTATTAGCATCTTTCAATCTTGCTTTTATAAACGTTTCCATTCTAGCATTCCTATCACAATAGAAAGTGACGATGCAGTCAATGTACATACACAGAGCCAGGATGTGAAGTATTCTCAGGATCTACCACACAGACTTAGCCATTCAGCACCAGAGTAGGAGACACTAAAGTATTTCATCTTACTGAAGCCCCTTTTTAAAAAGTCTCTACTTCATGACTTCGAAAGTCATACTAACCACCACACATGCCTGGCTAGTAGAAACACTCAGCCTCTCTCTTCCTTTAAGAAAAAGCAATAATTTGCATAAAGCTCTCAAATTTTTACAGCAAAATGAGCGTGCCCAACTCAATACTTTCAAATATTTTCTGAAGATCTGTCAGAACAGATATCCTACATGGGTGGTTCTCAACCAATGGCTTCCAAACAAGACATCACCCTGACATCCTCCAGTATTGCTGTAGTCATATATAAGAGGATATGAAAAAGTTTGAACTGAGTGGAAAAGAGTCTGACAGTGGATGTTACACTATTCCTTTAGTACTATTATTCACAGATCATCAGAGGTTAGGACTATGATGTATAAAAGATTTATGTTGCTTCCCAACACAAGCAATGCACACATATATGCATATTACTGTCTTTTTATTTTCCCTGCATAACAGCAGGATTCACATTACAGTATTACGCCAAAGGATAAACGGAAGTCTCAACAGATTATTTTTTGTTATCTAAAGAATTATGCTATGTACACAAGAAGCAACTTACTGTAAAGTGAAAATATTATCACTTCTAAACAAGAAAAGGGCAACTCTGCTGTATATCAATGAATTGGTACCAGAGGAGGAGAGAGGAAATATAGTAGCGTGTTGAACTTCAAAGGTAATTTAAGCTTATCTGTATTTTTTCACAGAGATATGAAAGTCTAAATAATGTGCCTATGAATTACCTAAAATATGTGAAAAAGACCATCTTGTATTCTATGGATCTTCCCATCCTCCCCCGATGCATCACATTAGAAAAAACATATCAGAACCACCAAGAGATGATGCTCTCATTATTTTCTAAAATTTGAAAAGCTGTTGAGTTAAATTCAAATTACAGAGGAAGAAGTTACTTAATGATTAACAAAGAAAATGGGGTATCTCTTTAAGTAGCAGTCCTATAGCACCACCACAGTCATGAAAGAGAAGTTGCCGGTAAAAAATATAAATGTGAAAAATCTTACTGCTATTGTGGAACTCGGAACTTCGTGGAAGGCAACTAATTATTTTCAAAAAAAATTATTAACTTTGCACAGTCAAAAATCTCCAGAGCAGTCACCTAAAAAAGTCAGATAAGTCAGAGAAGCAATTTCAGCATTTACTACAACACCATAAAAGAGAAGAAGGGAGAAAAGGAAATGAACCCAGTACCAGACGCAGTTCAGAATTCAGTCAATTTACTGTGCAAGTGGCTTAGAAAGCTCATCTCAAACCGCAGTATTTTTGGCACATCTAGGAAACACATTTAAATCATAAAAACATACAACAATGTACGAATAAAAAGTTTAAGCATTCCTTCTAATTTTAACACTTTCAGCCAAACTTAACAACATTTTTTTCCTATTTGGAAACGATTTGTTTATCTCCATGAACTTGGAAGGTGGCATGAAAAGGAAAGGGGAAATAGTTACCAGCAGGAAAGCAGAACTTCCCACAAAGCACAGTAGAAGTCTTCTACAGAACTTCGCGAAGTAATAGAGACAGCTTTGCAGATCTAGCTTCTGCTTTTCATGTCAATGTTATCATCTCTTCCACACAGTTTTCAGAGACAGTAGTAATAACAAATACATGTATTTCTCACTGAAATAATTGCTATTATCAAAATATAAAGTTATATTAAATGCAAGGCTTAAGACTAAGTATATAAACACAGGCTGAAGTGTACTGGTGTCCCATGTACCACAAAACTGAGCAATTTAATGTCAAGAATACTTCTAAGCTTATAGAATTAATCATGTTTGAAAGAATTTTTACTGCAATGTTTACAAAGGTCTACCTATCACGCAGACTAATAACTACTTTGCACAGATTGTGAATCAAAATGCATTCCTACAATATAAATTAAGTGCCTTCTACAATAGGTTTATATATGTGCTACTTCTTCCGGTTCACAAAATTGATAAAGAACATACATTTCATAACAAATAGTTAGCAATAGTGACTACATGGTGAATAGTGGCGGAGTTTTTGCTCTTTTAAGTGTGAAGCACACACAGTCCATACCCCAGAAATTAATAATTTAAGCATTCAAACAACCAAGAAGGCCAACGAATGTAGATTTCTGCCTTAGTGAATTGAGGCAATTGAATTGGCGTGAATGACTGAAGCAGTCCAAGACCACATAGTCTCAACATCAAGGAAGCTACTCTTAGCTTTTCAACTTTATCTTGGACTACCATCACAACCTTCTGCACCAGTAGTCAGACAAACAACATATATGAGCACGCTTCATCCACAACAGTGCAAAGGCTTATCTTTAACCCATCTTGCAAAGTCCACTAACTTCGTGGACTTTGTCTGTATGCTTTGCTGCACAACTCTGCATTGGGAAAGCAGTGATACTAAGTGATTCTGGGTAAGGGTTGCGGGGAGGAAGGGTGAGCACAACTCAGTGCCCTCCAGCAATTTTCAAGTGATTCTAATAATCTACATGTCTGAAAACAGAGGTACTAAGAAGGTATACATTGCTATAGAATTATACAGGAATAATCAAATTGCAACTAAAGCAGGGAAATTCCACTAATAATTACAGATACATAACAAAGGATAGCAATATTTCTTCAAAGGATATTAAGGGTCTTATATCCAGCACATTATACTGGAAGCACAAAGTCCTTTCACTCATCTGAGTCTTATGTTTAGATTATTTCTGGATTCTAGAATTTTGTGCTCATAACTGCATTTTACAGTTATGAAGAACTCTTACAAGAAATCTTACAGCTATCATCAAAGGGTTAAGAAGAAAGCATTGTAATTAATGAACCATGAGCATAAAGAAATTGTGCCAGTATGTAGGGAAGGTTTATTATCTATAATAAAAAAGAGCTAACTACAAAAGAAGCATTACAGGTGTGGGGGGGAAAAGCACCATCTGGATTACATCATGGTCTGAAAACATTCACTGACAACTAAGAGAGCTTAAATGATTACAGGAAAAAAAAAAAGAAGAGACATTTGAAACTGAATTGTCTGCACAACTGTTTTTCCTTAAAGTATGGCGTTAGAGATTTTTCATTCAATTTTATATATAGAAGATATATTTAACAATTACTGTATACAGTTGTTTTCAGACACCTTTCCTCTCTTCAGTGTATAGATCCCTCTGTTGACCTCTGCTGAACTACACAGGAGTAGCTTCTTCAATCTACTATGCAACTTCTGTTTGGATGGCGACAAGAAATTGAGTATCACCAGTCACTGCAGGAATTTTACAAATAGATAGGAGAGATCAAGGCGAAAAAAACCCAAACTGAATATGGAGCAAACCAGAGGACATCTCTGTGTGATAGAGGTAAGTGTCAGACACTTTCCAGAATCTGGAAAATGGTTTGCCTCTTCTAGCAAGAAGTCAAGAAGCATTTTAACTCTGAAAGCAGAACGCAAGAGGAGGTGAATGACCACCTGATTACAGCATAAGAAAACAGTGTAGTGAGAAGTCAGGATTTCCAGCTGGGTTGGAGATAGTTCTAACAGGCTGGACAGTATGTTCCAACAGAGATCAGAGTGCAATGAAATTTCAATAGGTGCTACAAAACGGAGTGTGTTCCTCTCTAATTTACTTTAGCAAAGATACTCAAAGACAAACATGAAATGTCTTTGAGATCTGGAAAAAAGATCTAGAATTAGAAAAGGTCTAGGATTATTGTGAAAATTTAGGAAGTACACTGAGCTTCAAAAACAACAACAATCTTCAAAAGAGAAACAGTCTTGCTGCTTTGAAAATGTTTTAGCCTGGTTCAGCCTCTCATGATATGCTATTACTTTGCAATGTACAACAGTTTGTATGATTACCACCTCATATTTCTGAGCTGGTAGTCTTCTTTTGCTGAACACAGCAGAGAATAAATGAACAGCAAGGTGCTAAGTAGAAAACAGGGTAGAGGAAGAGGGGGGGGAAGAAAAAGGGTGGGGGCAGGAGTGGATTGTATTCATACCTCAGACAATTCAGAAAAATCTCACATGCCTTTTGGTAGTATTCTCTGTAAATTCCTGTGTTTTATACAAGCTGGAAAGCATTATGCACCTTGCAGCCCAAAACCAACTGTAAACTCTTCCTCTGAGTAGTTATGGTTCAGATGAACATTCAATTTGTGTACCCCATAAATTTAACATACACATAAATTTACTAATTTTTTAAAAGTCCAGATTCATAGATTCATTACATTATAATTATTTCAGCAGTGAGACTTGAAGTTTTTATAGTTCTGAAGCTGTTTACTTGTGTATGCAATCACTCTTAAGTGAGAAGTCCATTTGTAAAAACTCAAGTCATTCTTTTGCCTAAAGGAGCCAATGGAAAAAGTGTCAAAGAAAAAGGTGTATGATACTTGTAATGTATGATCTTCTCTAATTAATCAACCCAATGACTGAGACTTGGAAAAAAGGCATAAGTATTTGTAAGTAATGGGAAGTTAGGTTGAAGTCAGTAACAAGAACAACAGAAGAACAGTATGAGCTTCAGTAAGAAAATACTCAAAGTATTTTCATCGTTTCTTCTAATAAAATTTGTTAAGATGTTGTAAGACATTGACCATATTTATTTCTTTATGCAAAGAAGGGTGGTGTTTTGTTGTTTTGGGGTTTTTGGGTGGTTTTTTTGGTGTGTGTTTTTTTTTTTTTCCCCCCCAACCCTTTCTTAATTCTGGAAAAATCTTACTCATTTTGTTTCATTCTTGACATACTGTTTTTTGGGTTTTTATCATTTATCTTGCTTTTAAATGACTAACAAATTAACATGAAAGCTGTCAATAGATCAATATATAGGGTCTCTTTCAAGTGATCAATTTATGCCAAACTTGGCATTAGACAAGCACTGCTATACAATAACAGACAAAATAGGAAAACCTAGAAACTATGATATATCATTTAGTCGATGCTGATGACTACTCAAAGGTATTAATTAATTTATCTAGGGTTTGGAGGGGCAGAATAAGGATTGCTGGTTTTGTTTCCATTTACAATAATTGAGCCTAAAGATAAAGGTGATTTTGTATTTAATAATTTTCCACACACACACATTAAATTTCTTATCATTGCAAGATGCAATATCATGCAATTGTGCTGAACACCTGGATACTTTTGGAGTAATATCCTAAGCAAGAATCACTATGCCAAAGCTTATATACTCATATGGCTTTTAATGGTTAAGATAATGTGAACACTATGCAATTAAATTATTTATGGCAGACTTCAGTGAAGAAACATTAAATATATTCATGGCCACCATAAATCAGCCATGCCCCTGTTGAAATTATTTTCAAATAGTTCAGAATTTCCATTAAACTATTAAAAGCAGTTCAGGGAAAACCCGCCCTCACTTGGCAGAAATATTATAATGAAAGAAATAATAAAAGCTGACTTGGAGCTAGAAGTTTTGCTCAGCGCTGATATCTATGAAATTAGATGCACAGTTTGTATTCACCTATTGGACTGCACCTTGAATAGGATACCTCTGGTTCCCTGGTTGGTCTATGCAGCTTACTTAATGCTAAATCTTTCAATGTGCCTCTTCAAAAAAAAAAACCAGCAGGAAAAACTGTTTGCTTCTGATCTGCATCACCTTACTGAATTCTGGAACTTAAACAGTATCTTAGGAAGAGTTAAAATTCAGAACACAAGTTACAATGAGCTTCTCCAAGAAGTTTCTCCAACTCTGAATAGATGTCAAAGGTATCTGTGGGTTTTTTTTCTTGTTTCCCCAACAGAGAGAAAAACAATATTGCTTTATTAAGCCATTATTGGCTGTCAGAAGACTGTGTAAACACTGCACCACTTCTTACACAGACATTTGCCCAATAATCTATCATTGAAATAAAAAAACCCCAACCTATTACAAAATAAGAATTCTTTTCAATACTTTTACTTCCCTCTTTAAATTTGTACCCATATATGAAGCAGAAATACACTACCTCTCTTAAAGTTTCAACCTCCCATATCTATATTTGAAAGAGTCATCTCAGCAAAATATTACCTACTTGGAAGCAGACATGGATCATGTTTGCTTCACAAGTATGGTTTTTTTCTAGCTAGTATGTTGCTAACTGAGATCAGACATTACAATAAGACTAACCTGGGGACTCATACATACCTTCTCAATACTGACCTAGACAGATTGAGACACAGAATTCTGGGACATAAGAGTGATAAAAAAATTGAGAAGTAAGTGGTAAACGCTCCAAAGAGGTACTCTTTCTTTACAGGGTAAAAGAAGTTAGGTCTTTTTGAAGACTGCTATTGGCAGACTAATCTGGCTGGGAATAATTTTCTCAGTGGGAAAACTGCTTTTAATTAAGCAGTACTTGTTAGCATTTCCTGACACAGACATAAAACGTAATTAATACACAAAGACTTTCCCTCCTTTAAAAAGTCTGCCAATGTACTCTCTCTCTAGCAACCGCAAGTGAAAAAGCTCCATGACTGATCAGCAAGAATTCGAAGACATCAGTATAAAAGCAGATCAAAGCTTTATTCAGATGGCAACCTTACCTTCCTTTTTCAACAAGCAGCAGGACTTCTATTTTCTCTCCATTTTGCATCACACTACTGATTGCTGAAAACAAAACACGTACACATTCATATGATCTACACAGACATGTATATAGACAAGCACATACATGCACATATAGATGTGTTTTTTCAAAATGATCTTCAGTGACAAAAGGAGCATGGAATTCTTAAACATTTCAAATAAAGAATGCTGTTGATAATAGAAACAAAACTCCACAAAACACTACAATACACTCACACATACAGGAAAAATTAATACAGAAGATTATAAAGAAAGGTTAAACATGTACTACTTAATGTGAAAACATGCTGCAGTGTTTTATTATATTAAAATTAAACTTGTAAATACAAGTTTTAGAAGACATAATGATACAGAAGTAAGCTGGATTTTTGAATCCATTAATTTACTTGCACTCTCATGGCTGCAGATATTTACAATAACATAATGTGAGTTATATATTATACTGTGAAGATCACTGCCACCCTTCTTTATGTTGCCTTATGCTATTCCTGCTAAAAAAAGCACCCTGCAAAACACCTACGTTATACATAACACAGAAAATGCATCTGGATAGTTGCCAGTAACAGTGCTTATAAACTATACTGTGCACTATACAAAAAACAGTAAATTAAATGTAACCTCTTTACTAATTCAAAACTCTGAAAAGTTAATTCTGTCAAAGTTTAGGTCTTATATATAATCCACATCTTATCTCAACTTCTTCCTAGAGCCAGTAAAGTCCTGAATATCAATGAAGCTCAACAAACATTCTGATGTATGTTATATGATGGTTTTGTATCACGCATACGCCTGGCCTCATTTACATTTACTGAGTCAAATATCAAGAAGGTAAGTGACTATACTTCCACCGATGATTCATTATTTGACAATTTTCAGTTATACAATTCAGTCTTAATAGTGGAGCAGAGTTATTTTGGGGAAACCAGAAATCAAAGAAAAGATAGGAGTATGGATATATAATATTTCCAAGAATTACTACTGTTATACAACTAATATTTAAAAATCAAAACCCAAGCAAAAACAATTTTCAACTGAAAGTTGAATGTGTGTTTCATTTCTACACTTGAGATATACACAGATTTTGGATATGATTAGGGTAGGAGCAATTACAGTTGCATTATCAAAACTAATGTAAGAAACAGTTCTCCTACTGCCTAACCTTTTAATTCTGAATCGAGATCAAAAAGTATTCACAAGTTAAAAGATACCTAGAGGCATAAAAATATTCCTGATTAAAAACCACCTTCACGGTGTTATTCACAGCAAATATAAGGTGGCAGTAAATAAACAGTAGAAAGCCCAATGGCATTTAGGCAAGTTCCTGCAAAACAGTCCATAATCTGACAGCATTTACAAAGAGGATCATCAATAAAGAGCTAAATTATTTTCTCTATGTTACTTTAATATAAAATCTCAAATTATTTTTACTTTCCTACATAACATGTTGCCTTGTTCAATCTAAAAACAAGTAGGGCAGATATGCTTAAAGATGATTCAGAGCATAATTACAGACAATGATATAAAATTGGTCATAGAAGACCATTTGTATAAATACTCTTATCTTTCCACGTCATGATATTGAGCAAAGAATATTTTTACTATCAGAAAAAAAGAAAAAGTCTATTAGTCTGTGAAATAAGTTTTCCAAGAGAATAATAATTTTTCCAGTACACTTGAGTATTTTAAAACTAGGCCTGTCAATCATCTCAAGAACACATTCTGCAGTGAGTATTTCTGCCCTGTCAAAAATACGAGACAATAATCCCAAAAGGTCATATATTATTATTCAATTCTGTACTCTTGTAAGAAAGATACTGCTGCAACTGGAATAAAAATTGTCTTCATTCATTATGAAGCTATGAAAAATCTCTCTAGCGTGTACCACTAAGTAGGGGAAAAAGTCCAAGACAGGACTTTACCAACTCCATATTTAGATGAGAATTGGGAGAGCATCTGGCTCATGCAAAGGAATAGTTACTGAGATCCCTAATGTTTATGTGTCTAAAATGTAACAGAAATGTCCTTAACAGTGAATTAATTCCATAGAGTATTTCCTGAATTTTAGATGTTAAGCAAAATTCTTACTTAGTTCTTGCAACCTCCTTAGATATATGGAATCTTCTTCAGCATTCTCCATTTCGAGACAAAAATAAAGGCTCGACTTCTCTATAGCAAACCAGCCTTTTCTCCACTGATCCAGGTTATGACAATCTTTGTAGTACAGCTGGCCAATCAGGTCACAGTCTCTCTCTAATAAGCATTCAGCCACAGGGGGAACAAAATGCTACCAAAGAAAATGGGGTGAGTCAGATGAAGAAAAAAAACCCTCTTCCCCTAAAAAAAAACAAATCAAGATATTGCAAATCTATAAGATTCAAGGACGAAAGCCACAGTACAAAAAATAAGACTTTCAGATTTATCATTCATAAACCCATATTACACTAAATTTAAATTATAAAAATAAAGTATAACATTTTTTCCATTCATACTCTACAATTCAAACATTTTTGCTTTTTAAACTACAATTGATTTAATTAGTAATGTTGACTATTAGCATTTGGTACTGTATAAAATACAGTACTGCTTTATGAATTGTTTCAGCAAATAAAAAAAATAGAATTGCAACCATAAACAGCTGAAATAAATTCATATCGTATATGTATAGAGCATATTAGAGCACCTTTAATATATTCTTAAGGTTGGCATTAAAATGTTGCTTCAATTCCTTTTCCATTTTATTTTATTATCTTGTTTCAAACATTAAATCACAAAAGTTATTTCTTCCTGCTGCACAAGAAACCTTTACATATGAGATAAATCAGTATTCATCAAGAATGGCTTCTCAGAGGATTTTAAGCTAACAATGACACTTTATTCTTTGTGTAAAGGCTTCTGGCCTAACTGGAAAAGATAATTATCAGTATTACCTTAGCTATTGCCCAAGTCCATTTTCTTTGTGAATATGCAGTTTCAGCTCCAAATAGAAAAACACGTTCTGACATTAAGTAGATTTCAAAGGTAAAGATGTCCCTAAAGCAAGCAAGAGAAAAAAGACAGCTGTATTTAGTTTTCATAACAGTAGACACACACAAGTCCCATTTCTTTCTCTATTTTTTCATTATTTCATACCCATGGAATGGAATCCATTTGGATATCTCCTCCAATCTTACAAGTACAACCCAGCTAATAACTGAGTATTTTATAACACAACACGATCAAAGGTCAATACTATGTGTTTAGAGGCTACTGCATAATAGTTTTTTCAGTAATTCTGAAATTAATAAAAATGTTTACATATAGTCATTAAAATTCACAGGGAATTTTTTGCTTTTGCAAGTTCATGTGATTTCAGCAAGCATATTTTTGTCATGCATTCAAAACATTTTGTTTAGGTTTAATATAAGCAGACCAACTCCTTGAATGGGAAGTTGTAAATAAGTTACCACAGAATCGCAGAAATGTTGGTTCAAAGGGACTTTTAGATGCCACTTGCGGTCTAATCTCCTCCTCAAAGCAGGACTATCACTGAGCATAGATCAGAACAGCAATGAAAAGCCTTGAAAGCCTGCGAGGATAAAGACTCTTTCTCTCAGCAACCTGCTCCTGTTCTCCATCACCCTTCTAATGAAGAGGCTTTTCCTATCATCCAGCTGAACCTCCTAGGGTGAAATGCGTGGTCACTGCCACTCCTTGTATCACCTGCCACCACCAAGAAGAGTTTGGTTGTGTCATGTTTATGATTACCCTTTGAAGTTGCTGTAGCTCAAGAAGTTCTTAAAAGTTTTGGGGGGGTGTTTCTTGGGTTTTTTTCTTTTTAAAAAGTATATCATTATTTAAACAGATCGACCCTGTTTTTCCAAATTTAACTAATAAATAATAAGGATAGTAAAAGAAGAAAAAGTAATCCAGTTGAAATTGGGGTGGAATTTGGAAACGGTCAGTCTTTAACCTATAAATTACGGTTCACCAATTTATAGTATGACCTCTCTCTAGAATCCAAATAGATGGAGTATGCTTTTTCCTTTCAGTGCTGGGGTTGAGATTTGTCTAAATCTGGAGAACTAAACATGACTCAGTTCTCTCATTTTCAATAACCACTTTGAAAATTATATGTAAATACTTAATTCTGACTAAGAGAATAGACATTTTAATGACCGATTGTTTCACTACATGAAATATCAAATTTAGGCAAGTTTCTCATAAAACTATCCAATTGCAGGTAAAGCACAGCAGGAGGTTAGTCATTCCCTAAAAGTGAATTATTCGGCCAACATATTTTTAATTTAGGTATTATCCTGAAGTGGAACCATTTGGAGATGTAATAAGCAATAGGTTAGACTTGATGATAGAAGAAGTAAGTGGTATTTTTCTTTTTTCTGGATACCACAAAGCTATGCTACTGCAGAATAGTGAAGGCCATCTCCACTGTATTTTACAGCATGTTGAGGCATCACCATATTTCAGGATTTCTCCCCTCTGCACGCCCTTTATCTCTGTAGTAGCTAAAGTCCCTTCTTCCCGTTATCTTTTCCAGTAGCTTACTGAATAGACTGTTTTCTTTGCAGACACTTTTGCTTTGTAACTACAAGCATTACAGGATTATACTGTAGAAAGATCTCGTTATTTTACATACACACATATATAAAGAAATTTAAAAGGAAGTGTTATGGAGTTTGTTAGACAGATCCAAAGCATAGTTTAGACAAAAATGTTGCCCTAAAGAAATCAAGTATCACTGGGATGCAACTCAGATTTAGGTGAATCTCCATGTGATGTTTTTAATGTATAAATGGGATGAGAGAGAGTTATAAAAGAAAATAAGACCACAAAAAAAGTTGCTACCTTCAAACTAACACAATGCTCAACAGTTACACTGTTGTCCTCAACTGCAGAACAAAGAATGGGTTTCAAAGACCAATAGATCTGTGACCAAAACTGAAAGAATTGTGAAGAACTCTAATCTGCTGCATTATTATCAGGAAGAAACAAAGCAGGAGTTTTGGCTTGAGGCAGAGGTCAATCCCAGAAAGAAAAATGAGTATTAATTGTTCAATTTATCATCATGTAACCTTTTAAGCACTGAGAATATGTATTACAGTTTTAATAAGAAACAGTTGTATCTAATTTATGCTGCCCTTTTAAATTACCCTAACATTTTCATTATATTACTACGAAGAGGGGGAAAAAAAAAAAAAATCCCCAAAATACCACTTAGCACTTATTTCTTGAAGTCAACATAAAACAATTCAGCTTTTTTTCCTAAATTGCATGTTCAAAATTCAGGAACAAATGAACCACTCTGAAAACCCAGAATAAAATCTTTGAAATACCTGAGTTTGTTTATTGAATTATTAATTTGGGAACCTACCCTCTATTTAAAAAGAAGTCTGACTTGTGCACTACAAGACAGATAACTTCATTGATGTCAATCATACCATTAGGAGTGGTAGTTTTATCATTTTCATAGTAGCTCAGAAAGCCACTTTCCAAAGTGCACCATCTTTTGTTGCAATCTGTGAATAAAGAAATAATAGAAAAGTCAGTTGGCATAATAATAAAAATTACCTCTTCCTATAGAAGTTGCCTCACAGGATGCATAGCTCTGTTGTAACAGTTATACATTTATGATGAAATCTCAGTCTCACTGACTTCAGTGGGCCAGGAATTCAATGGCTGTGTTGATTCTACTTAACCTACAGAAACTCTAGCACATGGTAATTTAAGAAAAGAGTATTTCAAATATAACACACTTATTTTTATGTTATGAGTATATTAAATCACTTCATAAGTTAACTTTACCATTGTATAGGGCTTTTACTTCACTTGCTGTGGAACTTCCTGGGGGAAGAGCTAGTACACAACACCATGTCACATGTTTAGCAGAAGAGATTTAAGAAAGCAAATAGAAAACATGCTACAAAGTTAGGAACACTGAAAGCTACAAGAACAATATATTCTGACAAGAGCTGATAGCAAAATGAGTGAGTGAATCATGGTATGCAGTAGCAAAAAAGGGCTACTCTTTCTTTCATGTTACTGGAACTAGAGGCCAAAACAAAATCTGTCTTCCATTGTTTGGTAATGCTTGGGTGTCCACTCACTGTCACAAGATCAAGGAAAACAATTTAAAGCTTTCAAATAGTCTAGAAAAAAACCAATGTCATACATGCCAGAACTTGTATCCATTGCACACTACTAGAAAACACAAGAAAAACACTATCAGAAGTTGTGTTATTTAATGTGATTAATTTTTTTTTAAAAAATATGCTACCAAAATAGTAGAAGATGACAAACTGAAGAACAAAAAAAACTAATAGAACAACCCTTTCTAGGTACATCAGTGGTTGAGCTCAATTCTCTCCTACCGCAGGCCCAAGTGTCAGATAGTAATGAAATTGTACAGAATTTATTCCTGTATACTGGGGGAGATAAATGGATACATCATAGACAGGCAGTAGCTATAGCCGTTTCAGGATAGCATGTTCACATTAGAATGAATTGGAGATCTCTCTTGTTGCTACTCACATATATACCTGGCAAGGGTAAATTCATTTAGCAACACTGTAGTTTATAGAATGCTAACATTTGTAGGGTGCTTTCAACAAGTAATGATTTAAGTTGCTGAGCATGGTTAAATTACCTAGTTAAGAATTCTATCTTCAAATAACTTTGAATTAGATATTTTGGAGTACCTAGTAATTGCCATCTATACTTTAAAAAAAAAAATACAAGGTGGAGGAAAAAAAAAATCTGCAGAGCAACCTATAAGTATTATTTGGCATATTTAATTAAGACCACATGTCTACTCCCTCTTATGAACCTAAAATATGAATACAGCACATGACATAGCGTATTAATGACTATTTGCTACTCAAAATATTCACGCATTCATTCTAGCTTACATCTAGCTCTTAGAATATAATTTGAGGTGCATCTATTCCTACCACTGCAGAGAAGCAGGTCCTAAGAGAAAATGCTCTGTTTACTTCTACAGTCTTAAAATTTCTATACAGCTGCAAATATTCTGGTAAGGTATTTGTGAGAATTTGGTAAACAGCTCTGGAAAAAAACCCACAAGAATCAGACAAAAAACCAAACTGCAGTGGTACTTAGCCAATACTTACTATGTTCTCTGATACTTCATCCAATTAGTTTTTCTGTTATTTGCTATATGATTTATACATGTTTTATACATATCTTGGTACTATTTTATTAGTATTTATTTGTATCATGCTACTTGCTATCTAGTTCTATCTATATTCTGTCTAAATATACATTTTAAATACTAAAATAAACGTAAGATAAAGGGTTTGAAAATATATAGGTTTACAGGAGTTGAGCATCAAACTTGGAGATTTTGTTTGTTTAGGGTTTTTTGTCCCCCAGCTTTACCCCTCCCATCCCCCAAAGCCTATTCTACAAAATAGCTCACTGCTTCAATATTCATTAAACTGTTACAACTCTCAAGGACAATTTTGGAATGTCAAGACTTTTAACAGGGTTCCATAAAACCTTTTACACTAAAAACAAGCAAAAAAATCAAACCTGAGCCACTAAACCTCTAACCCTTTGCTTTTTGATCCATTGCATCAGAATAGAATAAATGTTTGAGCTCTCTTCCTGCTGATCATCAACAGCTGTTAATTAACAACTTTCCTTATGCACCCCTGCTGAAACCACTGATGCTGCTATAATGAGAAGTACACACAAAATTGCCTTACTCTATCCTGCACTATCTAAAATCCACATAATGAAAAACGGGAATGTATTTCCAGGTATTGCACCTAGTTGTTACAAAACTTGGGTTCAGTTCACATCACTGAATGATTTCTTGAGTGTCCTTTTACCATTAGGGCTCAGCCCACAAAGGGATAACAGTTTTCTGTGACAACAAACACAGCACTCAGATTTTCAGCCCTTGGCACTAAAGGCAAGATTGTCTACTGCCTCAGAGATTCGTAACACTGAGGAAGAACTTCACTCTAGTTTAATAGTTAGGCAGCTTAATAGGATTCTGGCTTGCATTAAAAAAATAAAAATCAGTAGATCAAAAGCCCAATGTACTTTGGGACAGGGCCCAAAATTTAGACAAGTGCTGTAATCCCCAGTTAGAGAATGGTGCTCCCTTTCTGGCCCAGTGAGAACTCAGTTCAGAACTGCTTCAACAAGAGAGCTTATTTCTTTTCTCTAAAACTAAATAGCTAGGTCACTTATTTGGGTAGTGTAACCTTCTTACTTGAATCTTTACAGGCAGAGGAGGGAACTGAAACTGTATCTCCCACACATTAGTACTCTAACCATCAAATTATTTTCTGAAGACAGTAAGAAGGAAAAAGAAAATATTAGCACCTATTCCCAACAATCTGCAATATGCATATCCCATATTACTTCATGTTAATGAGATTTTATAAAGGTAGAAACAGTTCTTGATGTAGTGAAAAAAAAACAATTCAGAAGGGAAAAAAAGATTACGTGTTTTATGTTTTAAATAGCAAAAAAACCCTTTTGTCATAATACTTCTTACACATGGCTGAGATAGTAGAGCCCTGAGGCAAGAGCAGTTTCTAATTCAAAATTGCAGGGTTTTTTGGTTGTTGTTGAAAGGATATTATTATTACATCTTCCTCCCTTGTTCCATTTGTCATTTGTTTTCTTAAATTGCAAATGGTCAGGGAAACCTATCTTCCTATGTATCTGTAAAGCACCCATCCCAGAAACATCAGTCCTGACAAACACATGGGTAATTTAACATTAATGCAAAAACAAAGCAAACAAACACCCAAAAAAAAAACCCAACAAAAAAAAAAACCAAACAGCAGAACATCCAGCATCTACAAGACACGATCACAATTTCAGAGGCCAAAACCTGTGCTGAGGGAAATCTTGTTCCTTTCCATTTACTTTTTGTTCCTCCAAGTAGTAAGTGCAATGCTAAGCAATAGACTACAAGCTTTCAAAGCAGCTTCATTTCTGTCCACTAAAAACTTATGATGGAAGACAGTCAAAATTCAGTTGTTTCTTGTCTGAGGGCTTTTTTCATAAATATTTTTAAGATATCCTACTAATGATGCTTACTCCCACTGCATCTCCCCAAGAAGTACCACAGAAGACATTCTGTGAGCATTTATACCCAAGTCTTCAATCTATACATGTATTTACAAACTCATACTGCATTTCTAACATACCATTGTGTTAGAAGAGACCAGTAGTATTGCCTTGTATCTGCTCTCTACTTCTCTTAGTGGGGTCTCTTTTTTTTTTTTTTTAATTTTTTTTATGAATATAGCTATAGATACCCACAGCACAGAAGGTCTGCACTTACAGCAAGTAATAGTGAGGTTTGCAGTTACTCCTTTCTCTCCTGAATAAGCTCAGTGCAGTTTCAGAACAAGGCTCAAGAAAGTCCTGTCCAGCAGCAGTCCTCTGCCACAATAAGTGTCTTTGTTAACAACTGCAAAGTTGCTGGGAAACACCGGTGATCAGGCATTAGTTGTTGATCACCCAATGCTTTCAAGTATTTGGACCCACACTAACATACAGATTCTTCAAAAGCATATTTAAATAAGAGTTATGTGCTTTAACATGCTTCAGTCTCCACTAAGGATCTTAAAGGCATGAATATGGAATATGGAGAATATGGACATAATCATTTAAAAAAAAAAAAAAATATATATACCAACACAGGATGCCATGTCAAGATTTTAGGAGCAATAAACTCAACCATAAATCAGCCCAGATTTTAAAAATCCACATCATTTGTTTGTTTAGATGGAAGAAAAATATAGGCACACAACTGGGAAGAAAAAGGAAAAAAAAAAGCTAAGAAAATTACCTGATAACACCTCTCAAAAAAAAAAAAAAAGAAATCACAGAAGACTGATATACACAGAAGACCATGTATATGTACTGTGATATACACACATTTTCACCCCACAAAGCTCAATTTATTGTAAAGCTGTTGGAAGTGCTCACTTCCACTTGGAATACTTTTAAAATTTGTAAGCTTGAGAAATATCCTAGGTGTTACCCATTTTGACTCTTACTAAAAAGTCAGTGATACTTTTAAATGATTTCTGGAATATTATCATTTTAGATGGAAACTACTTTTTGTCAGTTAGTAGCATCCATCTAAATATAATTAAAGTCAGAAGTGTTTTCGAAGTGTTTTTCATTTATCAATAACTGTTGTTAACTGAATAATTTTTCAGTAGTTCCATTTTCTTCCTCTGTCAACCATTGAATAAAGAGATCAAGACAATCAGTATTTTCTTTATCCGAAAGAGGTCTACCGAATCAAAAGAGGATATGTCACGTCAAAGACATTTTATCTTTTAAATAGTAATCCAAGAAGTTAAAAAGAACCAAATTCATCCAAACCATACATATTCATGTATTATTCAAATGCATAAAGTAAGCGTGAAATACCTTCTTTTAATTTCTTCTCTGTAAGAAGCTTAGCAGTATTAGAAGAAACTTTGTATAAGAATTCACAAAGAAAAGTGGAATGTGAAGAATCTTCAGAGAAGCCACTTTCAAAACAAGTATCATAGTTTGGTAAATCTATTAAACGAAAAAAGGAGTAAGTAACATACAGAACTTCAGTTATATCAGTTATAACTGTTTCTCCACAGGTCTTTCTAATATCTCTGTAATATCTTTACTACAGTACAGATACATCCTATTGATTTATTTTTATAATTAGAGTAAAATTCTTACATATTCATCAAAAAAAACATTGGTTCACATTTGTTACAACATTGCCATTGTCTACCACTGCTTGCCAATATAATCTAAAATACGGCTTTCTGGTGTACTAAGCTTTTATTTTCATCCCTTATGTAACATACTTCAACAGAAGGGAATTGTTTCTCTTGAGGGCTTATCTAGAAGTTTACCACCAACTCTGGCAGCAGATAGACAATGATTCGGAGAATCACTGTCAACCTGCAATGACCTCCCTTTCTCTGAAGAGAAGAATAAACACTAGCACCAGCACATAGTGATGCTGCCTTGGCTGGAAGGCTAAAAGTAGAAAATGGTCAGAGCCAAGACAAGCAAACTTCTCTCTATACCCTTAGGACCACTTGAGAGCATAGCTAGGAAAAAACCCATAGCTGCATGTTTGCACAGTGACTGAGCTCAACATCCCAGGATCCAGTGCCTGGCACTTGTGACAGAGCAATGCTCAGGCAGAACTTAAGGCACCGTGTTTGCTCTAGGAAGCCCTAAATCATTCCTGCGTTTCCCACTAAAACTTTTGTTGTTCAGCCTATGCAGTGTTACTTTGCAGAGTGGCACGAGACGATGAAAAGTTGGTCCAGGAGTATGTCCACAGTGCTGGCCGCAGAAACAGCACAGCTAATTTTTTCCAGTGTAAATCTGCTTGTGAACTTTCATTCCCAGACTGCTTCAGATACTGTACAGCCCTTTTGAAAGGTAAGCTCAGGCACATCCATACTCTACAAATTATTTATTTATTTATTTTTAAGAATAGCTTTCTGTTTCCAAGAGCCTCATAACAGTCACACACTGCAACCAGAACAGTTGACTTTCAAGGTCAAAGTTTATCCCGTGCTCCAAGCTGCAACAGCGGTTGTGATCTGAAAAAAAGTTTGCTGGGATAGATCATATTACAGGTTTAAGAGGTGAGTTTTGTTTTGGGAGGAGAGTTTGTGAAAAAACAGGTAGGGCTGTGTGCAGTAGGGGTAGATATCAATTTAAATAATTTTTAAGAAAAGACAAAGTCCCAGACGAATACTTTAGATACATGTTAACTGTATACACCCATTTTTTCTAGTAAAAGCCTGATAATGTTGGAGGAACAGAAGACATTTTTCTTCTGTGTTATAAATAAGGGTATGAGGTCTATGAGTTATCACTGGCTTTTTTATGATTTTTTTAAGTCCTAAACTTGATGTCTGAGCAAAATAAAAGTAACTTGTACACAATTACATATACTGTCTGCTGAAATACAGTTAACACCATCACAACTGCCCCACTGCTATATCACTGTTGTTCAACTCAATGCCAATTTTTCTTCTGAATTCTCTCCTTCCTTCCTTCTTTCCCTTTTGCTCAATATGAAATTAGAAGATCAAAACAAAGAGAATATATCCTACCTGAAAACTTATTATGGTACAGGAATTCCATTTGCAGTCTTTGTCCAGCTTTCTTGGCTAATAAGTATGGAGTACTGTAAACAGGGTCTCCAGTGGCACACATAGCATCAGCCCCACTAAACAGCAACATCAGAGTTTCTAGCACATCTTGTTTAACTACAGCAGCACACAGGGCCTTATCATGGAAAGGGAAAATAGGAAGTCTGTGTAAATTAGAAAGTAATTGGCAACAAGTACATGTGATTTAGATGCAAATCCTTTCACCTCCAATATAGTTCCCCTGCATTTTCAAAGACCATAAATATTGAGAAGTAGCACGAATCATCTAGTATGGTCTGAATCTAGAAAAAAGCAGCAACAACAAAAAAAGAAAACCCAAAAACATCATCAACCCAAACCCTGCAAGACGTTGCTGCCACAAGTTTCACTTGGGAAGGGTAACATGAATTAATACAACTGGAGGGGAAGCTTGTTGTTTATTTACGTGAAAAATTCCCCCTCGTCTTCCTTCACACATCAAACTACTAAAGAAAAAATCCAATTATTTAGACCTCAAAAGTTCAACCAAAGAAACAAAATTTGATCCTTACACTCTATTACTAGGAAACACTGAAATTCATAGGTAGTTTTTCAAAACTATGGCCACAGTCAGTAAGGCAACTATTCTTTAGGGTATCTTCATACTTGATCATCATCTTTGAGATTTAAAGATCTCACTGCATCCTAAAACATCAGTCCCCTTTCATTTTTGTATACACGAAGACAGACAAACTAACAAACTTTTTTTCTTTTTTTTTCCTTTCAAAATATTGGTCCAAAACCTTAAAACCAGGAGTAGCTATTACAGCAATCTATTCCATAACAATTTCTATGATTTAGTATGTATTTAAATTATTTACTTAATTAATGAGTTTTTCTGAAATGATTAAGGCAGAAGTCACTCAACACAAGAAGAGTACTACTCTAAAATTCAGCTGCTCTAATAAACACATAAGCAGGCGTGAGATGACAGGGCAGACCATTCAGTAAAAGTTCTAGAATTACCTGGCAATGACCACCTTATTACACGGTATTTTCATGTCTCCATAGTGAATTTGACCATTATATCCAGTATTTTTTCCCAGTAGTTAAATGATCAACTGACAGACACCCTTCCCCCCCCACCAACAAAACCCACAGACTTCAGAAAAATCAAGCCTGTAAAACAGAGCTATTTTCTGTGGTCCGCAGTTACAATATTAAATAAAGTCTCTTGCACAGCTGCTACCAGTAAGTAGAAAAGAATCCAAATGTTTTATTTTGCAAAGACATAAAGAGTTCCCCATGAAGCCCAAAAATGTTTCCCAATTCCAATGAAATGCAAAAACCCTAAATTCAAGCTATACAGTGAGATGGTTCTATACTTTGGCTAGAAGTGTTTTAATGACAACTATTCTTATATGCCCTTATTTTAACTTCTTATGTGTGTAACTAGCATACAACTTATAAAATGTATGGAAAATAACACTTCCTTTTTGACACAATAACTACTGAACAAATGAGACCTCTCTAGTTCAGACCACGATAACTTTTAAATATTACTGCCTCCCCACAATCTCTGTATACCTTTTGAGATAATTTGACTCATGCAATTGAACGCATTCGCATTGTAAAAATATATGCATTTAAACTTTTCTATATTCATATACCCTAAACAATCACGACTCTGAAATCATTAGATATTAGAAGTCAGTCAAATGGATATCAAAAATTACACAGAAATTGGTAATTATAATTAGCATTTTCCACTTTATAACTGCAAAGAATGTGTGTTATTTGTGTAAAAGGAAACAGTGAGAACACACATTTTTCATCATTAATTTTAGCTTGTTTCATTTCCAATTAGCTACAAGCTTCTACGTAAGTGTGCATGAGCTACTTTCACCACTGATAACGCTGAATTGTCTAATGTACTGGAACGTTACATGTCAGACATATAAGATATCACAAACACACAGAGAGGGAATCTAAAGAAGTGAAGTGGGGATTTGCATCCCTAGAGCGTGTATTTGAAGAAAAATGAAGAACAATATTCATTGATGGCTGTGGAAGACACATTACAGGCACCATATAGGTACCATAACCTTTTACAAACAAACAAACTGGAAAAACTAGGAACTAAGAAATCATGAAATGACTCCTGTAAAGACTCCAAAACAATTCTTATTCAGCTCTGTGAGAATGTCACTCAGGATTCTGAATTTATTTCTCAACAGTTTAACAAGATGACCAAATTGCACACAGATACAATACAATACAAAAGGTGTGGTATGGGCTTACCCATTCTAATATTACCTTATTCAACTGTTCCTTGGTTTTGTAGGAAAAAGGTGCTTTCCTGAATTTTCCCTCTTTGTATTTTTGTGTAATGAATGCTATCCTTTTTTCTGCAGGGGCATCCATATGCAGCTCTTCATCTGGAGGAAGATTTCCTGCCCAAAAACTGTTTGCCCTCTTGTTTCCAATGATGATAAAGAGCTGGATGAGGTGCAAGAAAAAGACAAGCAAAATAGCATGAAGGATATGAAGCTAGCCTCTAAATAGTTTTCAGCTGCTAAAAGTTGAAAGTTATTAAAGAAAGGAAAATTGCCTGCAGGAGATGAAATGGAAGCCTCTCTCAGTCTCTGCATATGGTCATCTATAAATGAATAATAAAATCCATAGTCATCATTTACCATCAATAGCAACTAACCTTTCAAAGGCTAACCAGTTACAACATTTCAATACATACTAGAAAATATCAGTAAAAGGTCAGAGAAGACTAGCATATGTTTTAAAGAAAACACTGATGACTCAACCCTCTCTATCAGCACCACTTTTTAACACCCCAAGCAACTAAGCTGGTAGTGAGAAGTTTCCTTTCTTTTCCCCTTCCAAATATTGCCCATCATGATTGCTCTCCAAAAACATTTTCTTTCCTCTTCCTCCAAAAAACTAGATGCTTGGAGAAATATTAAGAGAAACTGTACAGATAGTTATCAAAACAAATGAGTATTTTGAATGACACAAAGGTAAATTTTTCCCAGAAACATCAAGTTTACTCTAACAGCAGCATGTTATTTAGCAGCTGTATGTTCAGTTTTCTTGTGAGTAAAGCGATGACTCCTATTCATACAGTAGTTTTCAAGACAGAACAAGGAGTTAGAATATCACAACATACCTCAATAAGTTCATTGCTCCAAATGCTGGCATCCATTTTTAGACTCCGGACCTTTGAATCTCTTGGTCCTAAAGATCTGTGCTGTCCTGAAAATCCAAGAGTATTTTTACTTAATGAAAGCACTTAAACTGGGTTTTTCTTCTGCTGAGGTAACAAAAATATTTAATGAAGACAGATTTATTCTAATTGCTATTTTTAAAAAAGGCTGGGTTTGACATTTGAATATAAAATAAAAGCACCAACCCCACTCCTTCCCCCCTCCTCCCCCAAAAAAAAGTAGATTGCATTTGATAGTAATCAATAAACAAAGTAGGCTGTCTCATGTAGCATACTTTTGGGAGGGTTTGTTTTGAAAGAAAGCCTGGAGTTATAAATTATTTTCCTGAATCTACTGCTTAAGCACATATTTAAATATAAAACATGATAGAACCAGATTTTTAATAGTATCTCAAAAAGCTATTCCTATTGGCACTAAAATATGCCCTGATGTAACAGAATTAATACCCCAAATTTATACACTGAAAATTGTTATCCTTTGGCATCCAGCCTTGCAAAAGCCAGCCATTTCCCATGAAGTGCTAGTGTGTCTTAATTTCCACTAATTGTGAAGGATTATTCGTCTGAGGGCAACCAATCACCTTACAGACCTGTCATTTATGCATGGAAGTGCTTTAGAATAAGGATGACCTTGGTATTAAAAAAACCCAAAAGTTATGTTCACTTTTTGTTTGTCAAAACTTTCACAAGGATGGCACTGTAAAAATAAAAGCAGCCAATTCAAGGACGTACACAGATATGCAAATATGACATTTTGTAGAACCCACACAGCCTGTCATTAAGTACTCTACCTGCGCACTTCTTACAAATGACAACACAGAGATTGATGGATGCCCAGTCAGGACTGGGAGCTTTACAGTCAGCACAGCTCCTGTTGGACTCATTGAACCAAATCTTCTCAGCTACTTCATAATCAGACAGAGTTTCTGCTATCGATTGCTGCAGTGCTTCAATCCAGTCTTGTTTCTCTCTTTCCGACTCTGCTGTAAAGCTAAAACAATTGACTTCTCTGTGTTATTGATCTTTATTTTAAAGCCCAATTAAACAGTCTGTAGTCTCTCGTATTTATTACATTAACACTTGAAATCACAGTCAAAAAAATCTTCCTCTACACAGATAAAAATGCTAAGATGGAATGTATTATTTTGTACTTTTAGTCAGTGAAAATTCCCTCTGTTTTTGTGTTGTTTTCAACAAAACCACTACAAGCACGAGCTATTTAGCTTTTGTAACGCTCAAGTTATGTTCCTGAGTTACTTTCAATCTTTTTAGGTTACCACATATCAAACTTAAAGCCTGAACTTTAACAGGAGCATAGAATGACCTAAGGAAACACAGAGACTTACTGAGGAGTAAAAACGGATTTGCTAACTACAACAGCCAAAAAATGCTTTTCATTTAAATTGATCTTTTTGAAAAATATGAATAATAATAAGCAAACAACAACATGGAATGGCTTAGAGAAAGTCAAAGAACTAGCTATCTACCAACTAGCCACAGATTCAAATCACTGATCAAGACTAATTTACCTGCTACTCTAGTCAACTGAGAATGAAAGGAAATTCTTTGCTAACATTTAGCAAGCCCAGGAGAACAAAGTGATTTCTTTTTCTCTTGCATTACTGAGATTTCATTTAAGAAACACTACAACACTTACAAAAGGCTTTTATTACCATATACTTTTATTTTCTCAAAAATCATTACAAGTCACAGCATCAGCCAAAGTGAAACTTCCTACAGATTTCAACGGAGGATTTCTACAAGGGATGGCACATGATTGATTCTTTTCTTTTCGAATAAAATGCTTAATATTAAATGGATGCAGCATTATTTCACTACTGCAGTTTATTATTCTTTAAGATGGAGTCAAGTGACTTTTTTTTTCTTCTGCCCTTGCACAGAATGAACAAAGGCGGCTACATAAAAATACGAATCTGTGGGCATAGGCTGTCTAGTCAGGGAGGAAACAGATGAAGCACACAGCTTAAAGGAAAAGAAAATCCTTCTCTTTTTTAAAAAAAATGCTGGGCATTCTTAATAAAAACATTACCTTTTCATCCAAACTAGGTAATTCAGTGTAGAATGCAGTAAGTATTTCTTTAGTGCATTAGTTATTTGCATATTTTGTAATGTAAGTATTAAAGTTCTCACCTAAAGCTTTTATAAGGAGTAATTATTTCAAAAGATTGCTTTGCAGTCCGATCCACTTGTTTTACATTTGCCACATTCATAGGGATTAAAGTGATACCAAATCCTGTCTTAAAATCCTAGGGAAAAGACAATAGAAGTTCAGGGTTTTATCATTCAAGAATCAAACATGTATAGAACAATTAAATCAGCACGGTCCAAAAATCCAAGGTTAGTAATACACATTTTGGCCACAACATGCAAGCTGCTTCTAATTCATCAATGGATAAATAAACTTATACTAAATTTTGTCCAAACACTACACTTCTAATTGCTAGGATGACCTTACTTGACTGTTAGTAGGAGAAAAAATGCACACTGTAACTATTAACAAAGGAAAAAAAAAAGGTTAAATAACAAATTGCATTAAAATGTGGATCCAAAACTAGGGAAGTACCTAGCTTAAGTGATCCTTTAGTGACTAAATAATGTTTATACATCTAAATCCTTCTCATTAACAGCAGTTTTGCCTGCTTTTAAACAGACTGTTTTAACAAAATAAAATATAGTACGTATAAAATTCTTTCTTAAACCTTTGGTTGCTCTTGCTTCTGATGTATTATATGAACTAAACGTGTCAAACATGTCTTTGAAAAAAAAGTCCTATACAGCAGCTAAAATAGACAAAAGGTTATCTGTGACTCAATTATTAGAAATGCTAAGCATTTTTGCCATAAACCAAGAAAAATGATTTTTTTTCCCCTGCATGGAGCAATGTACTTAAAATAAAAATCAATCTTACATTAACACAGTTGGGAAATAAAATGTTCAGTGAGCTCTTGTGAGGCTCTCTCAAACGCATCATTTTGGAAACACTGATAGGCACATTATGTTATTTCTGATCTATTCAGAACACCATCAGTATCTCCTTCTTAAACTGATATAGATGTTCATCCAATGGTAGTCACTTTCACAAGTTTAATTTCTGGAAATACTAGCATACTTCTTGGAACAAAAACAAATTACATCACCCAAGCAAAAAGCCAAATCCACGTATCTTACCATCTGCAAGATGTTCACTAAGTTACCTCCCACATAACAAGTAGTTGGGCATGGGCTGATAAAAATATGAGCACGGAAGGGGAAAAGCTTCAGAGTTACCTGCCTGTGCAGAGGGGATTGTTTTTCTAGTAAATACATATTTAAACCTGCATCACCAACAAGTTGCTCTTCACATGATTTTCAAATTTTGTCAGCATTAAAGCTCATATGGAAAAGATACTTCACAAAACTCTTCTCACTTCATTCCCGTATTTCAGATATGAGCAAATAAAAATATCATTTTAGCCATGACTGATAAGGCTAAATCTGACATAAAACACACATATGGGTCTATGCACAAGTGGAAGTACTAATTATATCACATTAGGGTAACAAAGGGCATTGAAGAGAATTATGCCCTGAAAGGCTTTATAGTGTCCATTTTTAAGCCAAGATTTTTAAAATGCCGTAATTTCCACTAATTAAACATAGTGTGGGATAAGTCAGCTAATGTTTCTTTGCCAGACTTCTTATTAAGAATTTTTTTTTTTTTTTACCTTCCGTTACCTTTGACAGTAACGGTGTGAAATCCAGGTGTGGATTTCAGCACAAACCTTTATAAAAAGCAGTAACTTTTCAACAAGAACCCTGGCTTAGCCACTCCTCATATAATATATTTTTTAATATTTCTACCTTTTTTCTACCCTCATATCCTGTAACATAGACATTTTTATTCTCCTCCCCTCATCTTCAGCCCCCACCCCATTTTCCTATAAATCAATGGTTTTCATACTGACACACCCGCCTTAGAAGAGAGCAGAGAGTTTCTGTGAAGCCTACGCAGTCCCTAATTCATCCTCAAAGATCCATTCTATGGGAAAGGAGGGGGCAGAATAATCTCTTTTCGAGTATGAACTTGACAGCATGCTCTGTAGCAGTGAAGCATTCTTAAAGTCAGACATCACCAGTGAGAAAAACAGACGCATGAAATACAGGGTAAAAAAAGTATTGAGAACAGAAAAATACTAAATTTTTATTTCTATTAGCAGCAGTGTCTTAAATCAAATGAGAAAAATGAAAAAAAAACCTTTCACTTTCTAGAATTAAATGGTTTGCACTTCTGAGATGTAAATTGGATGCAGGTTTAATTTGCTGGTTTCAATTACTTCAAATAATTGGCCTTAAGAAGTCCTGATGTTTGAAGGACAGGTAACAAGACTATACTTGTACCTGAACAACAGTGCAATGCAGTCTTTGTTTATTAAATAACAGCTGAATGACTGCCAGAAGCCATGATTAATAGGAGTTCAATACACTCTTAGGTCCAGATTAGAGTTTACTGAAGGTAAATGATGAGTAATGAAGACGACTGAAATAAAAACTACCATATTGAGCCAAATCAAAAGTTCACCTGGTACAGTAGCTTGCCTTTAAGCACTTGCTACTGGCAACTGTCATAAAAAATATGTAAATAAGAAAAGGTACATTCTCATCTTCCCAAATAAGCTTCCAGCAATCTAAGGACTTCTAGCTCAGAAAGTCCCTGAACAAACAGTTGCAGCCAAGCCATCATACTTACTAGCAATTGACAGCCATATCCTCAAGGAATTTAAACAAATGCATGCTTTGAGGCCTTCGCAGCATCCTACTCCATAAATCTCCCAAATACTAATTGTGCAAGAAAGTAGTTCCTTTTGTGCATGTAAGTTGGTTTTTTTTTTTCCCCCTGATAACCGAGGTTTTCATTACATGACATTAGAGAAAAAAAAACGGTAACTAAACTTTATTCATCTACCTATTCTATACCGTTCCTTCTTGAAAATGTCTATCCTATATTCCCTTTAGTCTCTTCTTTTTTATGCCCTCAAACAGCTAGCTGCACCCACTTTCCTTGGAGCAAAAAGGGAGCAGGCTGCATGGGAGCACCCTGCAGGCCAAAGACTGCACACATTTATGTCTGTGAAGACAGACACCAAACTTTGTTGTACTGAACTTAAGAATGCAGAACTAAGAAAGCACTCTAGAAATGAAACGCATTAATTTGAAAATCTTTACTTTATCTGGAGCACAAACGCTCCAAAATTTGCACGTATACCCAGTGTACGAACAATCCCACTGAAGACAGAATAACTATTATCATGTTTTAAATTCAGCAAGTGCTTAAGAACTTACAATACCGAATTTCAGTGTGAGGAATGTCAGAAAGGTTAAGAAATTAGAAGCGAGGAATATACTTTTCAGAACTGAAGGTGGTTGCAAATTAACCAATTTCATTGGTATATTACAGTGACGTTATTTCCGTAATGGTCCAAACAAACTCTTTACGGTAACTGTACAACACTTGGCATAAACCAGGCTTTGTGAGCGACAGGTACACTGGAATCTAATTTTCAAGGTTCAGAATTATATGCTTTCAGGAGTGCAGTCTTGTTCTCTTCTTCAGAAACAGAAGTGGGAATTGGTACAGGAAGAAAGAAATGCTCCACTTCGAAAGATAAATTCATTCACTTTGAGTGCACAAGAGGACAATAGGGCCATTAAAGCACTATACAAAATGTACTGACAGCAAGACCAAGCAGTATCTTTTCAGAATAAGAATTGTCTCACTTCTGCTGAAAGCTCATCGTTTCAGATAGATTAAACTGCGTTAGACTTTCTGATAAACGAAGAAAAGTTTAAGAAGACTCAAAAATGGACAGAGACAGCTGAGGGTTTGTTTGTTTGTTTTTTTTTTAAATATAGATATGTCTTAAATGACTGTATTTATAGTATCTTCATCAATTTGAAGAAAGGTTAAAAAATGGGTTGACAATAAGAGCTTTTTTAAAAAAAAAAAAAACAACAAAACAACCAAATTCTTTAGAGATATAATAATAGATCAGAAGTATTCACCAAACAGCACGGTTAACTGAAGGCTAAAAATACTAATAGAGGCAAGTAGTTAACTATGAGATGAGTACTGGCTTTCTGGTAAGCTGTTGTTCCTTCCTGAAGGAGGAATGATTATAATGTGTGAGTCCTGCTGTCATTATCACCCTTGTCTGAAAAAGACAACCTATGAAAACTTGTCATCTGTATATAAACTGTGAAATTATGTAACTTCTTTTTTTTAAACATACCTTTAATGTGTATCGATAAAGTGCCTATCAGCGTACAAAATTGCTTTCTCTGTTTTGTATTATCTTTTCATAGACAAAAGTTACCCTGAGACAGGCTTTACTAACCTTTCTTTGATTCTATTCTGGATGAAATTCAAGGAGCTTCAAAATTAGTCTCATACCTTTTCTAACATATCACCACTGTTTTACAGACACAGAAATAAACACCAAGGTTAAGAAAAACTTAAGTACATGTATGAATAAAATCATGCAGCTACATCTAATCAAGTCTAATTATCAGAGTTGCTGAACACATAACTTTTGGTATGTTGTCTTAAAAAGACAGGCCTAGGCATCTTTCTTTATGAAATTGTTAAACAAATCTGTAATCAGAGGCTGAAGCTTGTGGCTCTCAGTTAATGAACAGACCTTCTCTACAAAACTGCTACTCTTCTCCCTGGAAACTATAATACTTTTTCTTTCTTTTGTTATTTTTTCCCTTCCACTCAGTTCTGCACTAGTAACACTTGGGCTGGAATTCTTATTGGTTTATTCAAACCAAGATTCATCTGAACACAGGAGTTCTAGAGCTGCTGCTTGTGTTCCTCAGCTTTTACTGTTTTAATAGTTATAATCATGTCTTTGGATGCACTCTCTTTTACGAATCTAGTATTACTTCCGCAATATATAAAGTTGATTTTTAAAAAAAAAAAAAAACAAAACACCAAACTCAGGAACACATCTCAGAAAAACCCAACAAAAAAACCCAACCACAATTATAAGTTTACCCTTACCCCTCACATAAAAATTCTTGGAAATAAATCCCAAGTTTTATTTTAAAGGTTAACTAATTCTAATATTTTCACATTAAAAATATCAGTCCATATTTTTATCTCAGTTTTTCGCTGCAGGACTACGGGGTAACAGTAACAGCAGAGAAAAAGGAAAATTGCTGCCATGATTTCAAGAGAATATATTTCTACATACGCGCACACACATGC